GCTGCTTCTTGTCCTGGAAGAACTGAATGAACTCATCCCGGACCTGCAACGAAGCATCAACTTTCACAAACCCTCATCCTCCCTTCCCCACCTTCTTCGCCGGCCACTCTGTGTTGACTTGATTTTCTTCCCTTGTCCGTCATCCACAACACATCCTCCCTCCTCTAGCTACCTGAAGAGGATACCGAGCTCGCAGATGCCATGGACCACCTCCTGCTCCCTGCCCTCACGGGTGACTCCCAGCTCCTACCAGGCACAGCAGCACCAGAAGTCGAGCCAGCTCCTACGAAGATACCTCCGCCTCGCAGAGCAGGGGAGAGGAAGAAAGGCTGCGGAGGTCTAGGTGAGACAGCGAGACAGCGAGCACAAAACAGCAGCAGAGTAGAACAAGATCAGCGGGAGATAAGATAAGGAGGAGAGAGATGTGGTGAGGTGAGGTGAGGTAAGGTGAGGTGAGGTGAGGAGGAAAGGAGGAAAGGAGAGGAGGAGGGGTGAGGAGGAGAGAGAAGTATCACCGTCTTTCCCTTGTGTGATTGCAGGCAGAAAGCACGAAGAGGAAGTCCAACGCTTCCTGCTCGCCGGGAGGATCAGCAGACCGCATGGAGGACTGTTCCAACAAACCCGACTGCCGCATCGAGACAGATGAGAATGCCGATGTTCTGAGAGAGAAAACGCGCCCATGAGCAGGAGAGATCCTGTTAAGAGGAAAAAAAGGATAGAGGGGAGAGGGAAAGCATGTTGGGGGCGGGGGGCGGGGGGCGGTGGGGGGGGGAGTGGAGGAGGAACCAACACAAGGAAATAATGAGCATGGATCACCTTGCAACCAGTGGTATCAGAACCAGGAGCGCATTTCTGCGCATGGTCTGCATGTCAAAAGCTCTAAATCATGGTGTCAGATAAAAGCAATCATCATTCCATCTCCGGCTTTTCCAGCACGGCAATATTTTCCTAATGCGCTTTGAGTCTAGGACTTTGCCCTGGCTCTCCCGCTCATCAGCTCTCTCGCTTCTGGTCGCTGCTTCATGTCTGAGCTCTTCCTCTAGCATCTTCTCTTCTTCTCTTCAGTCGTCTGCATCATCCTCCACTTCTCCCCTCCCACTCCCTTCCATCGTCCCATCCCAGCGCTGTTCCCCAGGCATGGCGGCCGCCTCCTAAAACCTCCTATTTGGCGGGGGAGAAGACATTTGAGGGTATGACATCAATAGTAATTGTATCATTTTCAAATTTAATACATATTTTTCAAGATTTTTTCAACACCTATCCTGTAATTGTTGACGTAGGGAACTTCGATACTTCAAGTTCCGAAGTATGATTCGGCCGGGCCGGCGCCGCACCGTCCGACCGTAATCCCCGGCGGGCCCGCCCCGGGGCCGGCGGAACTTGCCACTAGTCACGGCACTGCTAGTACGCCGGGGCCCCGGGCCGGGTGCCCTGGTCCGATCACCGAGCCTGTCTTGCTAAGGTCCTCTCATCAGTGCCGCAGTGCGACCACGGTCTCAGCGGTACGGTCACCGCCGTTGGCCGCGCACGGCACTGTCGCCGGATTACTAGTTATCATGCGGCCGCCGCAGCCGGGCATGATGGCTTGGCCGCTGAACTGAGGCTTGCCAACTTGACTCACTATGAAAAAAATGGTTCAGTACCGGGTGGGTCACGCATCACTGAGCGTGACATGCCATGATGATGATGGCATACAGGCTGTTACCGTGACGGTCGGACGGTGACACGCGGCCTCGCGGCGGCCGGCCCGGGCGGGCGGGCCTGAGTCACCGGGGGCCGCCGCCGGCAGTGGATCGGCCCCCGACCGTCACGACCGACTCGGACCGGGACTCTCCGCCGCCGGGCCCCCCGGCCGGGGCGCGGCCCGACCGGCCGCGGCGGCGCCGCGTCCGCCGCCGCGATCGGCATCATCGGGCCGCATTGCGTGGGCCTCTCATCATCATCAGTCACGGTGGCATTCATGTGAGTCAGTGTGCCGCTGTGCCGCGCCAGGCGGCGGAGCAATGCCACTCTGACCCGGTGATGATGAGAGGCCCCGGCGCCACGGCACGGCGGCGGCCACCGGCCGCGGCCGGGGGCCGCGCCGCCGGGCGGGCCGGGGTCGGTGGCTGAGTGGCACACAGCGTTGACATTTTGATTTGTCTGTTTTGGGCTGTATGCTTTCCCGTGGGGGGGTTGTTCTGCTTTCTAGGTAGATTTGGGGGTGGCGTGTTTGAGAATCTGAAATAGGGTTCGAATTCAGCTTTATAATTCTCATTTTGTTTTCCAATAAGATATTTTAGACTGTATTGTGTAATGGTTGAGTATAAACAGAGAAGTAGGGCTACACCCCACAAGTTACAGTCAGATCGTGGGGTAGTCTACCAACTTAGTTGTAAAGCCTTCTTGTGGTACAAATTTATAAACAAGTTTGAAACTCCCCCTACACGCCATGAGCCTCCCCTTGCACGGGGCACGTCGCACCGCTCTGTACTGCCCTAACGATGGCTCGCAAACAGCAAGCCCGCGGCAGCGTGTGCAGATGTCAGATGTTCACCGAACATACTCATGGGAAATTCCTGAGGTGTAGAGATGATGATCCTTGAGGAGTGCTTGGTAGAGCTCGTGAATCTCACGAAAAATCGTTTGGTAAGCGAAGAGCATGAATAATACAAGTGAAAACACCATCACAGGGTTACATTGCAATCGAAACCAAAGCGTAAAATACCCTAAGCTATCTGTGATGCATGACAGGGAAACTGAGTTGGAGTAAATGGATGGAGGTTACACACAAGACGACAGGGAATCATCATCAGATGGTGACTGGATTGTTCAAAAGCTGTACGGTCACCTGTGAGCTCAAGAACACATATCTGCACGACTATGTCTGATAGTCTCGCAAGAAGATGCCAATAAATAATGCACGGTGCATTTTAGCAGTGAGCTGCTCGACTGCTTGAAACAACCATGATCCGCAGTGCTGTCGAATGATGTCGGACAAGCAAGTCCCGTGGTTCGTGAAGGATTCTTCATCTGATTTTCAAGGACGTGTTTGAACGATGAAACATTTTGCAAATCACCAAGGCCTAGGTCATTTCATCACATGATGCATCATGTGAATATTACTGGTGTGAACTTGCATCGGATTTTGTTCATCAATGAGCCGCTGCCAAGCAGATGATCTCAACGCAAACATGAGCACTTTTGAAGATGCCAATATTCCAGGCCGTAGAGCATGTATGATGTGGCCACATGTCACATGCTTCTTGGTTCACATAGATACACCTTCGCAAGGCAAAAGATGGAACGTGTTCTTGATTACAAGGAGGTCGGTTGTGCTTTTACCCTGATTGAAACTCTTCTAATAAAGATGTGATACCCTGGATGTGGAATTCTATTTATTGATTCACAGCGTTTGTGATCCTTTTACAATCACCGAGTGCTTGTTCTGTTGAACAAGGCACTCCTCTGTAGTGCCACATGCGACAAGAACTCTACAACTGCACGGCAGCATTGCGAACCGTCAAAACAAGGCAGGATTGATTCGAAGAACATCTCATTTATTTTTATTGATGCTCAAATTTATCTGCACATTGTTTCATTTCTGACTAGGTTTCTGAAGCGTTGTGGAAACATCATGACTGAGGAAGAAATCCAAGTGCAGAAAAATCATCCTACGTCATGAAACATGGAAATGCAATGGTCAATGCACTTGATCATGGATATAGTGATTCATGATCAACAACAATTCTCTACAGTAATCTATGCGAGCAGGTGAAGTCATCCTTTTTGCAAACGTCTCTTCATGCACCGTTGAACGGTTGAGTGCGTGTGAGCCTGTCCTCTGTAGAAAAGTGAAGTGCATGAATCCTGACCGTAAGACTAGAAGAATTGAAAGTGAGCGATGACATGAGAACATATTGTTAGACAGAAAAGTCGCTCAAGGTACAGTTGAATACAAATTTCTCACAAATCATGCATTTGTGCGCAACGTGCAACGCACTGCAATTTGAAAGAAGGGTCAATCAGAGTTGATTCTGTTCAATGGTGTATCCATTATTAGTTCCTTACCTGTTCATAAAAATGTCATCATGTCTTCGAAGCATATTTGCAAGTACACTCGCGGATTGTATGAACCAAGGGCACATATTACATTACACGCTGGATGATTCAAACCTTGGCCCAACCTGCAGAGTTGAGAAAGAAGCTCGATCATCTCTTACAGATGTGATATGAGATCTTCATCTCATTCCTATCTCAGTTGGGTTGGATTCGAAGTCTCTCAATATCAAGGTTCATCCTCGCGAGTCAGGAAGGCACCATTTCATCGCCTCTTGCTCGTCCAGGGAGAGGGGGCTTGGGGAATGAGAAAAGGGGGCTACCCCCCACCCCCTATTACACAGTTTCAAATCCTTTCAAAGGTGGGTGGTTGAGGGTGCTCCATGCCTACCCCACCCCCCAACAACAGTCAAATGGAGGGGTTCTCGGAAGTCGAAGTTCCGACCAGTTTGGCCCTCATTTTGTACCATGTAAGAGCTGCAATTTTAAGTTGGTACCACAGATACTCCTAAAATGCGTACTTTTACATTGGTTTGGCGTGGTGAGGTGTCCACGCCACCAAATTCAAATCACCCTACCTCTCTTTGGCCCTGCACAGCAACGATTTTCATGAGAGCGACTACCCTCCCACATGACTTCTCAAAGGAGGGTACTCCCAATTGGCATGGAATGAAGGGACCCCTCAGGTCCTTCGAAAAAAAAAAAATATTGCCAATTTTTCCTATGAGCGCCCGGCCGGAAAAGCAACGCTATGCTGGCCGCCGTGCCCAGGCTCACTGACTCCCGGCGCCGCGCGGCCTTGAGGCTAATTTAGGCCGCAGTAGGGCCTCACTGACCGCTCGCCGAGCCGCTCGGAAACCAGAAGAATCTCATCAACTCTTCCATATCATTGCAATCAAGAGGAGGAGCTTGAAAACATGTTTGACGTAGTAATGCAAAATGTATATTTGGATCTGCAAACAAACATCTGACAAAGGGACGTTGACTGAACCCTGAACCAAAAGCAGCTCCAAATGTTATGGTCGGCTGATAAGCCAGGGGGACTTCCGACATGTTTATAGCCTCGGAATCCTACACATGATTCCTGGGGATTCCTGGCACAGCGATCGGACGGGCAGAGGAAGGAGAAATCTGAATATGATCAGCCCAGTGGTCGGGGGGCATGATGTTTGAATTGCAGATCCGACCTCTGGCGGCCCGCGTGTAAAGGCGTGTAGCCGAAAAACAACCTTTTCAAAAATGAAAATGAGCAGGTTCATTGATAAACAACTCATGTAAGAATAAAACAGCTTCCAGGATTCATGCAAACATATCAAGATTTCAAGCTTGTTCAAACCTAACAGTACAAATTTTCAACGGCAAACAGTACAAATTTTCAACGGCAACGGCGGATGAAAAACCGAGGGCCCAAAGACCCCTTTCGAAACTTTGAAAACACCAAAGGACGGGCATTCGAAACTGATACCATGGAACGGTGCCATGCTGAGCCTCCGAGTCGGCCTCACCGTTACGGTAGGCTGTTTCCGACGACGTGCCGCAGTCACTGTGCGGCTCGCCGTTTGGCACTCGTCACGTACCGTGATCTTTAACTTAACGGAAGTTCAACTTGTTGAGTAAAGCCTGTTTCGAGTCGTGCCTGAGTCTGCACTGGAATGGCATGACAGTGACAGTGCCGATTCCTGATTCTGGCAACCGTAGCACCGGGCTCCACAACTCTTTGGCCGGGCGGACGGCCCACGGTGCCTCCCGGAGTCACAGTGCCGGGAGGCGCGCGGCACGGCGGCACCGGCGGCACCGGCGCCCGTGCCCGGGCCCGGCCGCGGCTCAGGCTCGCCTCGGAGCCCGAAAATCTGATTTTAGCTGTCAGTTTATTACATTGCTACGATCTTAAAACTAGTCAAACTCTACCATTCCTCTACTACAGTAAAAATAGTGATCGTCATTTGTACGAACATTCCTTCACAAAAATACTATTTAGTTTCTATAAACATATATAGAAAATTTAGAGTTTTAATTTTCAAAGGATACAACCCTCAGCCCCCTGTTCCTCCTCTGGTCTTCCCACCCCACCCCTACCCAGCCATACTCCCCATATTCACCCGGGCTTATACCCACCCCTGTATCTCCCAACTGGCCGTACCCTACCCTCCATTTGACCAACCAATTCCGAATATTGTACCCGTGTATTCCCCACATTTTCTCATGCACCTGTTTGCCTGACGTACTACCCCTACCCCCTGTGTTCAAGGACCCCTACCTTTAAACTCGAGTGATCCGCTGTGTTACCACCCGTATTTGCCACCCTCTAGCGCCTCCTTCATTGTCCCCCCACCCCTCACCCCTAATTTCTCGGGATTTCTACCTAAGTTGACGGGGTCCTGAAGCAACGATGCCCTCCTCCACCCCTGCTTTAACACCCCCTTACCCCCACCCCCCATATTTAGACTCAGTCGTGGCATCCGACTGTTAGTTGGCGGAGGGGGTGCGCAGGGCGGTTGACAGGGGTAGGGACAAAAGTTTTGCATGGGGTGGAACATAGCATGTTCGGTGTTTGGACCATATAGTGGTGGGTAGATTCGAGTATAGACAAGGGGTACTTTATGGTTGGCTGCACAAGTCTAGGGGTGGGTATGATTCCCTGAGGGGGTCCAGGTAGAGGCTACCAGGGGTTGGTACAGGTAAGAACGAAGGCGATCGAAAGACAGGGAGGGGTACATTTTGTATAATTGGGGGGTAGGGTAGTCTGGTGTTGGACGGAAATGCAGTGAATATCGGACAACAGGGGAAGGGGAAGGAGAGGAGAGAGGAACCGGGGAGGTGGGGCGGAGAAAGCCAGGGAGAAACAGAACAAGTTGCAGATAGAGAAGGCTGAGAAGCTTCTGTTTGTGTGAGTTCTGATGAGAGCAAGAGTGATGAGGGAGGAAACGATGTTTCTTGTTTGAGGCGCCATGATATAGCCCCGGCCGCTTCTCTGATGTTTCAGTTTATGAAGTAACTGTCTTTGTTAAATGCACAGATACAAGATAAGATGCAGAAGTAATCAGTTGTTTTGCAGAAAACAGGGAAAGGATTTAACAATCTCGTACCAGGGCTAGATGAATTCCTCTTATTACACGGGTATTCCTCATCAGCAATAGTATCTCGTGGCTGCTCGAGGTCATGGGTGTTGTCATTCGGCTGTAAGAACCTGTTGGAATCTCGACACGACTTGAGCGTCATGCGTTAAGGCGCTCAAGTCATGTTTTGATGGCATCTTAGCGAGGGTGCAAATTCAATCGTTCGCAATGCACGGATTCTAGAGTAGACGTTACATGCTAAGTTAGAACGTGGGTAATCGGTCACGTTTGATTTGAAACCCTCAGATGAAATATGAATTCAGTATTTTGATTCGAAGAATATTGAATGTGATGGGTTGATATGTAGAATGTGTACAGTAAGGACACTCTACTTGGACAGAGCATGTAGGTGTGAATGAAATTTTCCAATCTCAAAGTAGACTGTTTGGAAGCTCAAACATAGTTGTCAATATGGATATTTGTATGCACTGAGATCAAACCAACCTATCATCAATTCGATCTAACTTCTCGAGCAGATTTGCAAACGGTGCATTTTGTGTTTCTGAACGAGTGAAGGAGAAAATAACGATCTGAACTTTGTCTGGGGCAACAAGTTTTTCAAAAAGTTTTTCAAAACGTTATTCGCGTCTGTTGATGCGATAGGGGACAATTACATCAAAATTATTCAAAAAAGGCGTTGCCATGAGCTCCACTTCGTCTCCGGTTGGCCCAACCCCGATGGAGATTCGGGGTGAGCGGTTTGCTGTCTCCTTCTCCTTCTCCTCTTTTTCTCCCTTCTCCTCCCTCTTTCCTCCCTCCTGATCCCCTCTCCTCTTTCCTCTTCTCCATCCTCCTCCTCCTCCTCCCTCCTCTTCCTCTCTGATCGCAGTAACTTTCAGACGATTCTAAGACTCCCACGCACCATCTCTCGTTCAATGTAAGTCAGCTTGTGGGGGAAAGCCTCGCCAGGGTGACCGTGACCCTCGTCCAGGGTGGCGAAGATAGGGACAACTCTCCAGCTCCTAACAGAGCTGACGGTGAGCCAGCGCACGGAAAGAGATCGGAGGGAGCGTCAGCCAGTACACGTCCGGACGAGGTTGAGGTGGACGTGGGAGCTTCGGAAAGGAAGAAAGAGGAGCGAGGAGCGGACAGGTTCTACGTCGGGTATTGGAATGATCCTCTCTGCTCCTAGAACACACTGATACCTTGGCAGAGGGTATGCCGTTGGCGGGAGCAAGGAGAACCGGGAAAGGCTGTCGGTCAGCAAGCACTGCTGGGTCCTCGTGTTGCTGACTGCTGGGCAGCTGCTGGACTCTCCTCTCTTCCGAGCTGTGGGCAACGCGGACGCGGATGCAGTGGACGATCTCTACAAGAAAGGTGACGAGCGACGGTCAAGGCAGCCAGACATTGAGCCTCCTCCCCTCGCAGACCCGCATCAGATCCTCAAGACATACGACTGGGGCTGGTCCATCAGCCACTTCGCGGCTGCTACTGGAATGGTGAGCTGGGCAGCTGCTGGGCCCCGCCCCACCTGCTCGCTGAGTCAGCTTGACGCGCGGTGAATGCGATGTTGCAGTACGAGATCCTAGAGTGGACGGCCGAGAGGAGGGAGACGAAGGAGCTTCTCACGAGGTTCCGCTGCCGCTGCCCTCCTCCTCATCCTTTCGTAACTTTCGCGCAGGGTCAACGACTGCGGGCTAACCCCAATGCACTATGCTGCTGCTAACGGACAAGTGTGATTCATCCTCTCCACTTCAGCTCCCTCCCTCTCTCTCTCCCTCCCTCCCTTCCTGAATGACTAGGGTGGCCAAAAGACCGTGTGGTAAGGAGGAACAGTGAATACAGGGCAAGGTGCGATGATATGCGACCAGAACTGTGTAGTACAAACGACATGTGTTATCGCGACGACGGTGATCATGATAATCATGATT